TGATTTTGTAGAGTAAAATGAAAAAAATGAAGGAAAAATACAAAGACCAAGATGAAGAAGAACGTGAACTCATCATGAAATTGCTGGGGGTAAGTAACATCTAAAAACATTGTCTTCTTTTGCTTTACATGGGGCATCCAAATCACTGCCTATAACATGCCAGGCATCTAGTACATTTTTGTTAAAATATTGACAATATTGAAAATATTGACAACATTAACTGTTTTTTCCCCTGTGCATTAAAGTCTGCAGGTTCAAACAAAGAAGAAAAAGGGAAGAAGGGGAAGAAGGGAAAAACAAAGGATGAACCGGTGAAGAAACAGCCCCAGAAACCTAGAGGTGGACCAAGGGTTTCAGACAGCATAAAAAAAGAAACTCCATCCCTTGAGGTTGTAACTCATGAGTTACAAGACTTGGCTGTAGAAGATTCACATGATGACAAGGTACGGCTACCACAAATGTGTGCTGCTTGCTTCTTACTTAGGGTGACCAACCATCCCAGGGTTCCCAGGACATGGGACTTAGAGTGCTAAAACCAGGACGAATGGTAACCCTATTCTTAATGGAAAGTCATTTTAGAAATAAAACTTAAAAGACTAAAATTGCAGTATATAACCATAAAAATGGTAGTGTTGATAGCTGATAAAAAAGTTTATCACAAGCCTTTAGAAAATAATTTTATGGAGAGGTTTTATTTGATTCTGATGGGAAATGACTTGGTTAAAATAAGACATAATTAGGATTGTCTTGAAGATGAGAGGAACATAAATTTGCACTTCTCTGGGTTTTTCTGTAGGAATATATGTTACATGATCTTACATAATGTTGAAAGTAGCTACACAGTTAGAGTGCCAAGTGCCCTGGTTGCAAAATAAGTGAGAAGTTAACATTTTTCCAGTTAAGATGGTTGCCTAATTGTTCTATCAACTGAATACAAGCCCAGTCTTAAGTATATCTTCTTGCATGAATATATACATCTTGAAATTCTGAGCAAAGGATTTATTGTTTTATAAATTTGTAGAAAATTTTTGATTGTGACTGTATTTTTATTTATAACAGTTAAAGCTTTGGTTATAATTGTGTGCTCTGTTCAGTGCAGGCAATGCTTACAGGGATTCTAAATGTATTTCTTTTTTCCCTGCTGAACAGTGTTGTTTAATAATATTAAAACTTATTTTGGTCCTCAGATTTTTTACACTATTCTCATATTTGTAATTTATTCTATAAACAGACTCATAAATATTCATTAGAGGTGTTAATTATGAATATTCTTTCACAGATAGGTTATCTCCAGATAGATTTTTTAATGTGAGTAAGCAAACAAAATTAAGCTTATTTTAATATGTGAAGAATTTATCCTAAAAGTGTTGAACAGAGACTGAAAAATAAAAGTTATGTTCACTGGAATTCTCCATTTTCTTTTCCCCTGGCAAATATATCAAGCTTAGTTGTCATTTAAATTGTCCTTATAACATTCATTGCTTTAGCATATGCTCTATGTGAAAGTCTTTTTTTTTAACTTCAGAGAACAGTGCTTTGTCTCTGTGAATGGCATTGTTTCTGAAATATTAGACAGAAATCAGTTCACTGGGAGTCTTGGGGTCCTTATCCTGTTGGTTAGGTGTGACAGTCATGGTATATCACTGTTTCTTTCTCCACATAGTTTAATGGTGTGGAATTTCAGTTTAAGTTGTAGCTGACCTGTAAAATTTTCTGTTTGGAGCAGGAAGAGCAAGACCTGGATCAGCAGGGAAATGAGGTACGATACTGCGCTGGGCCCACTGCAGCACTCTGACTGCAGTCCGGTCCCCAGAGTGCTTGACAGACAACTTCTGATTAAAACTTAAAAGGCTAAGATAAGACTCTAGGCTCTGGAGTCAAACATTCTGGGTTTGAATCCCAACTTTGTTACATAAAACTGCAACCTTGGAAACATTGTTATTTGTGCATCAGTTTCCTCATCTGAACAGTGGGGGTAATAACTGTCCTACCAGGAGAGAGTTGTTGTGAGAACTAGGATAAGATATGTAACGCATTTAGAAGAGTTCATGGCATGTAGTAAGCACTCTGCTTCAGCACCAAGCATTTTGTCCTAACTCTGCATGTACTCACATTGTTAAATAAAGATGGGCAACCTTGTAGGCAGCCCACCAAATGGGAACTCTAAGAATCCCTAGGATTTCTCCTTAAGAAGAAGCAAGAGAGGGCCAGCCCCGTGGCTTAGCGGTTGAGTGCTCTTGCTCTGCTGCTGGTGGCCTGGGTTCGGATCCCAGGCGCGTACTGACACACTGCTTGTCCGGCCATGCTGAGGCGGCGTCCCACATACAACTAGAAGCATGTGCGGCTATGACGTGCAGCTATCTGCTGGGACTTTGGGGAGAAAAAGGGAAAAAAAAGGAGGAAGATTGGTAGTGGATGTTGGCCCAGGGCTGGTCTTCCTCAGCAAAAAGAGGAGGATTGGCATGGATGTTAGCTCAGGGCTGATCTTCCTCACACACAAAAAAACACAAGATGCAAGAGAGAAGACTGTTGTAGCCCAGGGTTTCTCAACTGTTTCTGGCACTGTTAGTATTTTGGGACGGATAATTCTTTGTTGTGGGGAGCTGTCCCATCCCTGACCTCTACCCACTAGAGGCCAGTAGCACTCTATCCCCCCGCCCCTCCGAAGTTGTGACAACCAGACATGTCTCCAGACACTGCCCAGTGTTCTCAGGGGGCAAAATCCGCCTGGTCAAGAACCACTGGTCTAGCCAAACTTATCAGTCCCCTTTCCATGCAATGGATTTAAATCTGTTTGTGGTCATTATTGTGCATCATTTTAATCCATAGTTTTCTGGAACTCGAGTAATATCCAACATGTTTTTTCTCCCTTTCTCTTAAATGTATCTTCAGTGCCATTTTGAAAATCATTGTTCTCATTTCTCACTATGCTAGGCAAAAATTACAGGTAGTAAAGAATATGTATTTAAATACCATTGGTCTTAAACTCTTCGGAGCTATAAAGCAGAGTTAAGATTGTATATACATCAGAAAATGATAAAAGTATGTTAAGATATTAATTTGACAGTGTTTTAGAGTATTCCTTTTGTAGGACTGGTATAAATACTTTTATAATTGTTTTTATTTTACTTTCCTTTTTTAGGAAAATCTGTTTGACTCTCTGACAGGGCAGCCACATCCTGAAGATATACTACTGTTTGCCATTCCGATATGTGCCCCTTACACCACCATGACGAACTATAAGTAAGTCATCATCAGTTTACTCAAGGCAGCTGACACAGCTGGGGACTGATAACAAAACAAATTGTTTTGTTATCTCTGTTTAGTAACACATGCAATTCTTTTTTTAAAGATATAAAGTGAAACTTACCCCTGGAGTTCAGAAAAAGGGAAAAGGTATTTAAAATCTCTTTTGAATTATGATTTTAAGCATTTCTTCACTGAACAGAAGTAGATTTTTCTATTTTCTATTTACAGCTGCAAAAACAGCCTTGAATAGTTTCATGCATTCCAAAGAAGCAACAGCAAGAGAAAAAGACTTATTCCGCAGCGTAAAGGTAAAGTATTCCTCCAGAATTCTTTGGAGATGGGTGGTGCAATTTAAAATGTTAGCAATTATAATTTTCTATTTTTTTCTTTATGTAGTAGATGCAAACTCTAGTTATTGTTTTGATAGATACTGTCTTAGTAGAAAGAGTATATAAAATAAGTAAACTCATTTCAGGTGAAAATTTTGGAAATGCCTTTCTTTTGACAGCAGAGGATATGTAATTATCATAAAAGAAACATGATTGACCACATAGAATGTGAAGATATTCAGCAATTCTCTTTTTTTAGGACACGGATTTATCAAGAAACATTCCCGGCAAAGTGAAAGTGTCTGCACCCAATCTTCTGAATGTAAAAAGGAAATAGCTGGAATGCAACACTAAAATATTTGAGAAGAGTCAATTTTATAGCCTTTTGGAAGTTCAGAGATGAAAACACCATGTAACAAGACTTCCATATTTAAAAATGAACTAAACATTGCCTTGCTATATTCGCCAAAAGGACTTATTCCTGTTCTTTTTCCCAGTTTTATAGAGAGGAAACACTGCCTCTGATGGGATTTCCTAAAATATTTGTGGACAGTTAAATGCTAATTGTATACATCTGTAGTTATTCTCCTACATTTTCTTGCAATTTGGGAGGTTAATGTTAAGTATTCATTTCAGGTTGTAAAGAAACAGACCGGTGAAGTGTCTCCATTGCTTAGACTACTGACTTGGGGGTCTACTGTCTATACCATCTAATATATCTGTTACTGCAGGCCAATCACAGTTTGTTTTTTTCTTGGTGGGGGTGGGGGTTGGGGGTGGTTAAACATTTAGAATTAGGTCTTGAAAACCCTGAGTAGTGAAGGAGTAGATTTCCTTCTGCCTTTTACTTATACTTGTCAAAAAATACATTAGACCAGATTTAAAGTACAGATAATTCCCATGACTCAGCTTAAGAAATAACACCTAGAAGAAACTGGTGTTGATCACTTCCATGCATTTATACACCTTCACTTTTCATCTTAATTTCCTTCCACCTCTAGTAATTATCACTAGCATGTTACAGAGTATCTTAACCTATAATATCGGAAGTGCACGTTTAGGCTCAAGACTCCTGACTCAGCTTTCTTCTGTCTCCTAACAGAATGGAAAATAAAGTCATACATTATTTCCATTCTTTTATGAGCCACAGAACTGTTACTTTTTAAGTGACTGATTGGACAATAGCTGCCTATAAGTCAATACCACACTTGCCCCAGCCGCTATACCAAAGCATTGAGGTCAAAGTACTAAACAGCTGTTGGTCCTTCCAAAATTTCTTTTACTAGCTTAGTCCTATTGAGAATATTTTTCCATTTGAAATTAATGTAAAAAGAAAAACTTTATAGTTATGTAGCCTAGTGTTGTAAATGCAACATAATAGACTACTCTTGCCATTTAAAAAAATCTGAAATACTGTTTTTAAAAATAAAGTCACCATTTTGATACTGGTAAGAATAATCAGTATAATGTTTCTACAGATGTATGTCCAAAAGTTACCAAAAAGCAATTATAATACCGTTTCTTGGTGTAAAAAGCCCAAGTATTCATTTTCTTTTGCTTTAATAGAAGACAGTTACTGGTGTTAAATACATTTATTGTAAACTTGAGACACAAAAATAGGTTCTCTAGGCCATCCACATGCACATTAAAACCAAAAAGCTGCAAACTACAACAGTGCACATAATTATACAAACGATGCCATTCTCTGGTGTTTACAGAATTGCTGTCCATGCAGGTGATGACAGGCATTATTGAAGCCTTAAGATCCACAAGTGTTGTTACTGCCAAACCTCTGGTTAACACTGTGAAGTAAGTGTTTTGGAAGGCAATTCCATGAATTGGCTAACATTTCTTTAAAGCAAATCACTGCCTCTAAGCTTAGCCTGAAAGTGGACAAGGAAAGAGAAAAACAGTTTCACTTAACTGTTTAGAAGTACATTCACTTGAAGAACTACAAAGAAAAAAAACCAAAAAAACCCCACCCACTTTCTTTAAAGATTTTCATAGGAACTAGTTGTATCAATGAAGGCTTATTATTGCCCTTAAATTATCCATAAACCTGGTTTTTCAAGAGCACTAATTTAAAGTGTTAAGAAACAACTTAATCTAAGTACCAAGTAAAAAGTCACTTACCTTACAAGAGATTTTGGTTGAACTGAAAATATAAGTATTTCATTACTGTGTGCCTGAAAAATAGATATGAAGAACACATTAAAAAGCAAGTACTTCACCAGTAAGTTTCAGCACTGTGAGGAAGTGTCCTTTAACACAGGCTAGTATACTCACAGCTCTGTGATGGACAAGAAGGTTATTGGCACACCCACCAAAAACAATTACTTCTCCTTCATCACTGGCACAAGCTGTATGCCACAATCTATATGTAAAACAAAAAAAGCTTTTGTTTGAATTCACCCAAAACACAAATTGATAATTTACACTACAGAACAGAGCTGATGAAATAAAGACTAAAGATCTTAGGTCAGACCAAAACATCATGGTAAGAAGCAGTTATCTCAAGGAAAAGTAGCAAGAGCTAGAAAAATCAATGTCTGTTTTATCTGGATGTTATCATTTTTTTCTCTCTGGTCCAGTCCTAGTTTATGCAATGAGAGGTTTGAACTGAATGATCTGTTCTGTAGGTCTTTGTTAGCAATAAAAATCTTACGGGAGATGAATGGTATATGCCCTCCCTCCTTCCTCTCTTCCAAGGGAAGGGCCAGTTGGCCTTACACCAAACATCTGAAGGGTGCTGGAACTGCCTGAGTAAACTGAAGGTATCTGAAGGCCTGGAAATTCTATGGAAAGAATATTTGTGTCAAATGAAGTCTCAGGGGCATGACTGTACTTAGGTTAGAGGCTTGGAAAAAAATGCAGGCTGACGTATCTAAATGTGCCTTGAACACCAATTTTGACCATTTCATTTCCTTTAGCAGGCTTGGTAACAATTCTTTTTGAGAATAACAAGAAAAATAACTATCAGTGTTTAATAGGCTCTTTTTTTTGGATGACTTGACTTCATAATCTTTGTTATACAGCACTACGGCACATCTAATTGAAAGTTCCTGATTTTTTTCCTCCATATACATTCTTTAAGGTTTTGAAATTCATTCCTTTCCAGTTCCTTTTTTTTTCATGACAAACCCAGATGCAGTTCAACTCATTTGAGTAAAGAGCTTGATTATAAATTTTAACTATATCAATTTTATAATAAAGAAGACACAAAAATCAAAATCTAGCCCTATTTTTCATACACAGATGATGGAAAAGAAAGCATATGATACTAGGATAACATTGGTTTTCTTTTCTTTCAAAAGCTATGATGTTAAACCTTAGTGAATGCTAGGATTTTTGTAAGAATGATGGATTTAATGCAGCCAAATTTTCTCAATCGTTACCAGTCTTAGACATCTGTATGGGCCTCATTAATTCAATATAAGAATTGCCTTTTAAATAGTTCATACCTTGGTTTTTCAGTATAGGGATGATTAAACTGTATCCATTCATTTTTACTGATGCAGTAAGTCCAGGCATCACCTGATTGAAGCAAAGAAAAAAAGAATTGTGAAGCATGTTCTTCTGTCAGTGTGACATTGATATTTAAAGGGCACTGCTTTAGCAAGAAAGATAATAAATCAGACTGTGAATAGATACAGGAAGTATATTTCCTTTTTTTTCACCTCTGCAATTAACCAAGTAAACCTTGCATATTACAGCTCTTCAGCAGGGCTCTGAATTGCTCTAGGTCATTTCTTTACTGGACAGAATGGATGTATGTCGTAGTATAAAAACAATTATTGGTATGTTTTAGGATCAAAATTTAGGGGGCCGGCCCCGTGGCTTGGCAGTTAAGTGCACGTGCTCTGCTACTGGCGTCCCGGGTTCGGATCCTGGGCGCACACCCACGCGCCGCTTGTCCAGCCATGCTGAGGCGGTGTCCCACATACAGAAACTAGAAGGATGTGCAACTATGACATACAACTATCTACTGGGGCCTTGGAGAGAAAAAGGGAAAAAAATGGAGGAGGATTGGCAATAGATGTTGGCTCAGGGCCGGTCTTCCTCAGCAAAAAGAGGAGGATTGGCATGGATGTTAGCTCAGGGCTGATCTTCCTCACAAAAAAAAAAAAAAAAAATTAATAGCAAACCTTCCAACCAACCCATAGCCCTCTGATACATCTAAAATAGACTGATTTTTTTCAGCTGTTTATATATTATATATGAATGATATATAATGATTTCTTATAGTTTTAAAGGACTTACTTAGCGGCTGCTTATCAGTTGTAAATCCTCCAAAGAGAAAGAGATGATCTGAAGAAACTGGTGTTAGTGAGTGCCAAGATCGGCCAACTGGGCATATGCCTTGTGGAATTCTGAAAATAATAGCAAAGTTACAATATCTCCGTTTAAAAGCAGCTACTGTATTTAATGCAGAGAAATATTGAAGTGTTTTTTTAAATTTATATGGAATTATGAAAAAAGACTTTAAATTTTAAAAGGCCTCTTGGTATTAACAACTACATGCTTCAGAAGAAACTATTTTCTTTGAAGGTGGAGTCAACTTTAGACCTTTACTTTTCAACAAATAGTGAGCACATGCTATCTGCCAGGCAACAGAGTTATGGCAACTCAGAATGGAAATAATAAAAGTCCTTTAAGGATCTAGTGATGATGTTTATTTAAATTCACAGTTACAGAAAATTTAAGCAAGTACGTTATATATACTAATAGTAGAAAATAAGGAAAAAAACACTGGAAATTTTTTGAAAAACTTTTCTAAATAATTATCTAAAGTGATACCTACAATTCATTCCATTCCCATGTATCCAGATTAAGATAGTGAAGATCATTCATTCTAGCATCCTAAAAAAGGATAATGAAGTAGTTATCATTTTGAATACTTCACAAACAAGTTACTGAAAACTGTACACTCACTCGATATCTGCCTCCAAACACAAAGCCTTTGTTTCCAACAGTTGCACAGGCGTGGGCCGCACGAGGCGAAGGTGCTTTACCCTGTTGAAGGCACGAGAGCAATTTAACAAATAAGGAAACTTTTCATCAAACTAGGAGTCTTCTCTGGATGTGGGATGAGAATATCCAAGACACTTGAGCTTTTAAGCTGAAGTGCAGACTTCTAGGCAACAGCAGTGCTAAAGGCTGACTACCAAAACTGGGAATTTATATTTTTGAGATGTATTACTGAATGGGCTAGTGAATATAAGAGAATGCTTGCTTTATTTTTATCTTTTAAAATAAAAGCTAGCACATCATATGACATCAGTGTTAGAGGAAAAAGAAACCTAATACTGGAGTAACTTAAATTCCAATCTAGTGCTAGGTCACTTATTACAGACAGTACCACTTAACATCTATCAGATAATAGATGTTGAGTTAGTGTATACATTCATTAAACTTTTCTAAGTTCTAGACTCCGTGGAGAAGAATGAAAGCTATGGACCTTCTCTTTCCAGAAAACAAGAATGAACCATCATTTACACCCCCTCCCAGCCCCTTCTCCTCTAAGTCGCCTTGCTTTCATAATTCATCACTCTTCAGTAACTCACAGTAGTTATAGGCTGGCTCCAGATAAATGTTTCAGTGTCTAAAATATGTACATGATCATTCCATCCTCTTGGATGACTTGAATTCTACAGAAAACAAATAATAAGAATCTCTGAGTTTTTTTACAAAAAATGTTTGTAAAATTTATAGCCTTTGATTTATTAACAAGGCAAAATGAACAAAACTAGTAAACATAAAATGTATTATTTCAACATACTAAATAGGACATGCAAATATGAAACTTCACTTACCCAAAAAGATGTTTCATCAAATTCAAAAGTTCCCAATACTTTATCTTCAGGTAAATATCCATACCCTCCAAAAAATATTAACCTGTTTGATAAAAAACCAAGACACTAAAAAATCAAACATCTACAGGTTAGGATATAAGAGATTTTTCTTATTTTGTCAAATGCTACGAGTTGAAAAGGGACGCTTGAGTATGTGAAAATACTTAAGTATTATGAATAAGTATTTAATACTCATTCAAGTAATACAGCTAACACGGTGTCTTAGGTTCTGCATTCAGTGCTTTCATATATGAATTCACTTGTTCCTCATATAGGCCCTAGAAGGTATGTTCTGCAGTGACAATGGTTATTGGCTAAGACTTGAACGGCAAACCACTGTCCACGTAAAAGCCCAAATCTACAGTGCTGCTCACTCACTTGTTCTTGTAGACCCAGACACCAAGTTTGTCCTTTGACGACGGAGGGATTCCTTGGCAATCAATTCTTTCCCACTGTAATACTCTGTCTGTAGACCTTGAATCCAGCATGTAGAACTGTCAGAAGCAGTGATTTCAGTTAGATTTGGTTATGCGAAAGAAATCCAACCTTGGCATTTAATTTTATTGTGATTTAAGATAATAAAAATGTCATCTAATTCAGTGCTACTAAAAGTGTGATTGCAGACTGGCTGCCAGTCTGCAGACTAGTACTGGCCTGAGTCTAGATGAGGAACTTGTGCCAGAATGTAAATTACCAAAGTCACTAAGCACCCTGTTTAGTTCAAGCATATTTTTTTTCTGTAGCCACACTTTTTTGAAGAAGGAACAGAAGTGTGTTGATTCACATTATCTAAGTGCCTTAGATAGGCACTTTGAGTTGTAATAATCTAATTTATGGGTCTCGGGATGGTATTACCAAGAAAGTCAGACTTAGCAATTTCACCTTCAAATTCAATTTAACAAACGTGTCTTAAGTGCCCACTTAACTCTAGGAGCTAAGGATAAATTTTAAAAGATTAAGTATTGGTCTATCTTTCAAAGAGTGCACATCCAGGTACTTGAATATATCTGACCAGTATATGTAATATTTTCTTACTTCTCTTAAGACTCCTAAGCTTCCTTTCAGTCAAACTGAAAATACTCAAGCCTAGCCATCTGATGTACTAACTGCTGCCGTTTCTCTGACCACTCCCTAAAGCCACAGCTTCTCTCCTTCCCAAGCTTCCTCATGTTGTGTCAGAGTTATTTTTCCCCCTTGGCCCTGAAACATATATGTCTCAACCACAGCCTACAGCAGTGCCTCAAAACATCTCAAACCCTAATATGGAAAAACAAAAATGGAGCTACACTTGTTAACAAAGAGGAGGAAAGGGCCATCCGGAGCCTGCCTAACACCATTCTGCTCCCCCACAGGTGTCCCAGGGCATCTCAAAGAAATCCCTCTGAGTTCCTAGGAGCGCAGTCGGAAGCCATCTCAGCCATATGCTCCATTTACACCAGACCACTTGGCATTTCCATGAACAAGACATATTTGCTTATACCTCTGCGTCTTGCTGCCTGTATCTTGGCTACCCCTCCCAACTGTATGAGGCAATTCAAGTATGAGGCAATTCACCTCTTGGGTGAAGACTTTCCTTTTTCTGTTTCTCTGTCCTACCAAACACAATGTCAAGGATTCTTTTTCATATTCAACAATATTTACTGAGCTATTACTATAAGCCAGGCTCTGTGCATCTCTTTATCATATGCTACTGAATCATTCTGTAATTATATGTGTTCCTTCTCGAATGTGAACTCCTAGAGGTGGGGACTGTATCATTCATCCCTGTGTCTCCACTGTCTAACCAAATGCTCAGCATATAAGGTGCTTACTAAGCTGCTAAATAAATGAATTTATAAGAGCCACCCATATCACATGCACCTTTCTGACTGACTTCCTCTGTCTCTTAGTGGCCTGAGGGAAGGACTGTTATCTTTATCCTGTTTGGAAAAAATATGGACAAAGCCTGAACAATGGTACTTATGGTGCCATATTAGGGGAATATCAGTATATAACATTTAGTCAGTGTTAATTTATCCTTATAGCTTTCTGAGTGATGGTCTGTTAATTTCTGCCATGCCCCCCATGACTATATCTTGTTTTCATTTAGTTTACTAATATTCATCTAACACTGCAGGGTTCTAAAAGAACAAGCAGCTGCAAAGAGCACAGAGAAAAACAACCTAGGACGTTACAGCACACAGGTCACCAACCACCAAAGTTGATTTTTCAAAAGGCCTCAGTAAATAAAGACTGGCAGACAAAATTTACTAAAATGCCCGTTCATACCATAATCGAATACATATATCTTTTAACTGGGACAGGAGTAAGTATGGGCTAACTCTGAAGTTGTCTGAAAAAGAACAAAACTGCCTTGAACCATAACCCTTAGAAACACTAACCTTATTTGTATTGCCTCTTGAGTGGTGTCCTCCAAACAAGTACAGCACCCTGTCCACACACACAGCACAGCTTCCTGACATGGAAGGAGGAACGTCACCTTCAGTGTTAATTTTTTTCCTGAGGGGAAAATACTGAATGTAAATAAGTTTCCCAAAAGAGAAGAAATGCAAAAATCTATTCATTTTTCTTCCACTTCTATCCCCACAATAAAGGAAAAAAAATGAGCAGACTGACTAGATAATGTCTAGGGGCTCTTCTCCCTCCAACATTAGATCAATCAGCTCTTCGCTCTTCACCCTTTCCACAGGCTCTGCCAGCTGGTCCTACACACAGGCAGGAGGGGAGCTTCCAAAAGCCTGAGTGTCACATTTTATTATTCTAGGAGCATCCCAGTTTATGTTTCTCAAATTAAATTGTTTGCTTCTTATTTACATGGCCATAAGTGGTTATTTTGTTTTTGTTTTTGAGTGGGCCAGGAACCCAAAAGGAAAACTCAAACATCCCAGTCCTGACAGATTAATTCAATAGGTGTTTTTTATTGTCACCTTTTAGCTGTTTAGACACTTAGGTAGTACTTACTAGACCTTGGCACTCCTCTGAGTGCTCTGCATCTTTTAACTCATTCTCAATCTAAAAATGAATCTGAATCAAAAAACCTAAGAAATCTAAGATTCAGAATGTTATAGGACACTCAAGGTCTCCTCACAATATCGCTTTATCTGTGCCAACCTTTAAGTTTTGGTAGGCTTATTTTAAAAAATTATTTATGGGACTGAAATTTTAAAAAATATGTAGAATCCCCCTATTAAAAGAATATTATTATAAATTTCCAATTCTCTAGAAAAAGATTACCAAACAGCTCAGATTAACAGTGATTTGCTATGTACAGAAATAATCCCGACTTGTTTTTAGTCTAACTCTTAAATCAAGTGGGACTGTTCTCCTAGTTCTGAGATCTCTGCTATGCAAAATATGTAAAATTCTCACAGGGCAAACCGTGGGGAAGACGCCCTCATAAATCTGCAAACATGGCTCACCCAGCATTCTGAGAATCACATTAATTCTGCCAAGGACATGCTCCCAAGCACCACTGTTAGGAGACTGGCAAAAGATCCTTTCAGACTATCCCCAGGTTATATGGAAGGCAAATTTAAGTTAGTTTTGTTTTTTAAACAAAATACACTATTTCAAAGAGATTTGCTTAGAAATTTTAATGTGAGAAGTCACTAAAATAGAATAACATCTTTATTTTTAGCAGATACAATCTAGAAATTCTTTTCTCATTCAAGATACCATATAACAGAAGACATACATCTTCACAAAATATATATATGGAACTTTTATTATATTTTCATTCCAGGATCTGAAGCCTCTACCTCTTTATTTTAATATTACTGATACTTTACAGAACCCTGAATAGAAATTTCTTCAAAGGTCATAGAAGCATCTTGCAATTACTGAACTACTTCTGAAGAGATGCTCAAGTATCTAAGCTTAGCAGCTAAGCTAAACTAGCAGAACACTGTTTTCAGAACATACAGATAGCTTAACATCTTTAATTAAAATATTTCTAGTCATAAAAATGGGTTTTACAGTTTCTTTTTGTTTGTAACCTTATTTGAATTTTTTAGTCCCCCTTATAATATCCACAGTTACCATCTTCCAGTCTCCATGTTGTAGATCCATAGTTCTTCTCTAGGCAGATAAAAGTCATATAATCCTCTGACTTGATTACTCTAAGAACCAAAAAAAAATTGCAAATATAAAAAATAATTGGTATTCTAAAGAGACACTATTGTATATTTTTTCATATCTATCTTATTTGAGATACTGAGAATTATGAAAAGTTAACTAGGTCTTACAGTTTTATCAAATGCACACTCTTCCCCACCCCATGCCACATATCAAGGTCATGCTCAATATGACAGCCCTTAATTCAAGTTTTTGATACAGCAGTTGCAGTGGTGCAGGAACTTAGATCTCCAGGAAGTCGCTAAGGCCACTTTATCCTGAAGAGACCATACACCAAATTTCAGTCGCATGACCTCAGGAGAGATTACCTGTGCATACAGAGTGCAGAACTGCAAATATGCAAATGTTACATCCCTATGCAAAATTTTAAGTTCCTTGTTCTGCTCCATTTCCCTTCAGGCAATAATTCTTAACAGATTGAGCTTACCATATGCCAGAACTAGCTGAGTGCTATTCATGGATTCTTTAATCCTCACAACAACCCAAAAAAGTAGACGATATTACAAAAAAGTAGGTTTTCCCAAGAGGTAAGTAATTTGCCCAAGATTACTTAGCAAGTAATGGTGGAACCAGGATTCCAGCCTCCTTTCCCTGAAACTGCAACATCAACCCCTCCCTGATCTCTCCAGCCTTTGAACTTTCCTGGCCACTTTCTGAACACTGTCAATAGAGCAAACAAGTTGTGGAGTTCACTGAGAATGGGTGTCCGAGTCTAGTAAGCTTGAGTATGACACAGTCTAGTAAGCTTGAGTATGACAGAGTAAACATCTCTTTCTCCACTCCGCCACTTACGAAGGGAAAAGGCTGGAAGCAAGACAGCGGGCCGACCTGGAGTAGATCAGCCTGCCTGGGCAGGAAAGCTGACTACTGTGTATGAAGCTACGCTTTATGGCCTTCAAAACAATCTCCAAGGGCTTCCTGTGCCCACCCTGTGGTTAAACCAAAATGTACAGGACAGCCTGTTGTGGAACCACCTATCCACTTCACTGACCATGCCTCTCCACCCTGCCTCAGCGCTAGGCACCCAGGCCCTCAAAACTCACCATCAGAAATTTTCCACCCTGACCACATTCCCTCTCCCCACCCCCAAAGAAAAGTCCCATTCCCTCAATACTGCTGATTTTTACCAACAGAATTAACGAATAAAGTAGTTTAGACTGAAGCGTGACTGACCAACACGTTTCCTTTTCTGCAAGGGAATTATTTACATTTTAACGAGGGCACATACCTGCTGCCTGTCCTCCTACCAAGTACCCCCTCTAAACATCTATTCATTGGAGGCCGGGGAAAACACTGCACATTAATCAGGATTGGCAAAAAAAAAAAACTTCTGTGGTTAAACCAAAAGAAGTAATCGGGACAGCTACAGCAGTGTCTCCCATCTGTCTTTGAGAGTCATCTCAAAAGCGGTCAGCTGTACCCTAAGCTGAATCTATGACCAGAGTCCCAAAGCAAGTCACGGAAGGCACAGGTGTAGCGGACGGGACTTCAAGTCATTGGGGGGGGTCATTTTGGGGACTAAAAATATTATTTTCGGTAGGAACGGATCAGAGACACCCCAGCAAATGAAATGAGATAATTCTAGAACGTGGGGTGTTATTGGGAAGCTCTAAAACGAGCGAGCGAGGTTCACAAAGGAGACACTTGGGTGGGAGTCCCGGGCAGAGGCACAACCGCAGGTGGCCCGAAAGCGGTAACTCCTCGGCGTTTATGACCGGAGGTCCCAGAGCTGCGCTTCGTAGTTACAGTTGTGGCTGTGGATGTTTCGATTACTGCTGGAGCTTTTCCATTCGTTTTCTTAGTAGGGGTTTCTTCTGAAAAACGTCAGCCCGTTCTCAGGTGAAACCCGAAGGCCAGTGGCCCCGAAATGCCCGCACAACAGTGAGGGCCGAGTGCACCGGCGAGTCCCGGGGCCTCGGGAATGCGGGGTCCCTAGGCCGCCAGCGCCCTCCGAGGGGCGGCGCACGGGTCCCGGCTCCAGGGGGACAGTGCTCCCGGGGTCGAGGGCGAGGACATCGCGCCGCCACCGCTCTCGCCCTCCGCGCTTTTCAGTAAAACCCGAGTCGCAGCCGCGCGCCGCCCGGCCCGCCCGAGTGACACTCCG